GACAACAATGGCTGGAGGTTAGTTTAATCAATTACGCTTCCTTTTAATGTAGATTATATTTTTCAGTTTCTAAACATGTTTAGATTAAGTATTTGAATTTCTATCATGTTTAGATAACTTTTAGTAATATAAATTTAATTTACATTTGGTATCAGAGACAGGTTGTAGAACTTATGATTTTCCATCATGATATTTATTTCTCGTTTTTCTTAATTAATTGTTCATTGTGAAAATTATTTGTTCTAAGATCTTGGTATAATGATAATCAAATCAATAATGAAGTTCAGTTTGATTTGCTTAATTAACAATTCGGATCTCTAACAGTTTATTCAATATGTATACATATTTTGATTATACTAAATACTTTAGGGAAATAGCCTAGTGGTAAGGCTTGAGGATTTAGCCTAGAGGTTTGGTGTTCAAAAAACCCTAGGGCTACACCATATATTAAAGGTCTTTGATGGGCCTTGGGCCTTGGGTCTCTTTGAATTCTACTAATATTTTTGTTTGCTTTCAATTTTTTTTTACCTACATTACGTATTTGACAATTTCTGGTTAATGTTTATATTCATGCATGTTAGATACATTGCGTTTATCAAGTGATGTTTATGTGAATATAATTAAATAACTATTTAATTAACCCATATAGTTTAATTAATTTGGGAGTAGCCACAACATCCTTAATTAATTAAAACTGTATAATGAGGTTTGTTATATCACTTGTTAAGGATCTTATTTAGAAGAGTAAACATTAATTATAATTAATCGGATGTGATATAATAAATTTTATCCCACATGAATTTTTATTATATCTGTATGATTAATTAGGATAAAATGTCAAATTATATTTTCTAATTTACCCACAGGGATTAGGAAATGAAGCATAATTTGATAGTTTTATCATGAAGTTAAGATAAATCTAATTGAATTGGAACTTTAGCCCACAGGCAAGTTTTATGTCACTAGATTTATATATTTGCATGTTTTTACATTGGTAGAACATGTCGTATTTTGTTAGCTTCAAATTTAGTAACATGAGCATGATTATTTAATTTATTGCAGCAATTCCACCTGCTAATTACTCTAATATGAAATGTGATGTTCCCGAGCTCAAAGGGGACAACTACAAAGTGTGGAAGGAGAGAGTTCTCCTTCATTTGGGATGGATGGACATAGACTATGCCATAAGGAAGATTGAACCCCCTACAGTTACTGAATTCAGCACTTTAGATGAAATTCAGCTTTATGAAAAATGGGAACGATCCAATCGTCTCTGTGTGATGTTCATAAAGACTAAAATTTCTGCTGGTGTAAGGGGTTCAGTCGAGCAGGTCGACAAGGTCCAAGATTTACTAAAGGCTATCGATGAGCAGTTCACCACTTCAGACAAAGCAATGGCGAGCACCCTGATCATATAATTTTCATCCTTGAGGCTCACCAGCGTAAGGGGTGTGCGTGATCATATCATGCGCATGAGGGATATTGCGGCTCAGTTGAAAGTATTGGAGGTTGAGATGTCTGAAGCCTTCCTGGTTCACTACATCCTTTGCACCTTACCTCAGCAATATGGCCCATTTAAGATATCCTACAACACACATAAGGACAAATGGTCGATCAATGAATTGTTGACCATGTATGTTCAGGAAGAGGGCAGGCTGCTTATAGAGGAAAAGGAAAAGGAAATTGTGAACTTTACTACCCCTGGGAAGTACACGAATAAGGATCAAGCCAAGGACAAGGGGAAGGGGAAAATCCCTCCTCAAAAGAAAGAGATTGTGTGCTTCTTTTGCAAAAAGAAGGGGCACACTAAGAAACAATACTCCAAGTTCTTGAAGTGGCTTGATAAGAAAGGTACTCAACTTTCCTTTGTTTGTTATGAATCCAATATTATTGATGTTAATCATAACACATGGTGGATTGATTCTGGTTCTACAATCCATGTCACTAATTCATTGTAGGATTTATGAGACCTGCAGAAGCCGATGGGAAGTGAGCACATCGTCTATTCAGGAAATAAGATGCTCTCACATGTAGAGGCCATTGGCACGTGCAAACTGGTTTTAAGTAGTGGTTTTATTTTAAGTTTAGAAAAGACGTTTTATATTCCTAGTTTTTCTAGGAATTTAATTTTAGTTTCCAGACTTGTATCAGATGGCTATTCCTTTAACTTTTCAGATTTTGGATTTAATTTGTCTTATAAATCTGATGTTATTGGATGTGGTACTTTGTCTGATGGTCTTTTTCTCCTTAATTTACAAAATGATGAAAACCATACTTCTATGCACGTTCATGAAATTATTGGTACTAAACGATGTGTTGTGAATGAAGAGTCTTCTATACTGTGGCATCGGAGATTGGGACATATCTCCATTGATAGAATTAAAAGGTTAGTGAATGATGGGGTACTTGGTACTTTGGATATTACTGACTATGAGACTTGTATAAGCTGCATTAAGGGTAAGCAGACTAACAAGTCCAAGAAAGGTGCCAAAAGAAGTTCTGAATTATTGGAAATCATACACACAGACATTTGTTGTCTAGACATGGATGCATACCGTGATAAGTACTTCATCTCTTTCATAGATGATTACTCGCGATACATGTATCTCTACTTGCTTAACAATAAGAATGAAGCACTAGATGCTTTTAAGGTGTTTAAAGCAGAAGTAGAGAAACAATGTGGCAAACAAATTAAGATCGTGAGATCCGATAGAGGTGGAGAATACTATGGTAGATACACTGAGAGTGGCCATGCAAATGGTCCATTTGCGAGGTTTCTTCGTGAAAATAGGATTGTTGCCCAATATACTTTGCCTGGCTCTCCGGACCAAAATGGAGTAGCTGAAAGAAGAAACCGAACATTATTGGACATGGTGCGTAGCATGCTTGCTAGCTCCAAACTTCCTAAATCCTTGTGGACTGAATCTCTCAATATTGACCACTGGAGAGCTGCAAAGAAGGTGATGAGATACCTTCAAGAGACAAAGGATTACATGCTCATGTATAGACAGACCGATGATTTGGAGTTGGTTGGTTACTCTGATGCGGATTTTGCTGGCAGTGTTGATTCACGCAAATCAACATCAGCATACATTTTCATGCTTGCCGGTGGAGCCGTGTCTTGGAGGAGTGCAAAGCAGACTTTGACTGCTACTTCCACTATGGAGGCCGAGTTCGTATCATGTTTTGAGGCTATGTCACATGGTGTATGGTTGAAGAGTTTCGTGTCGGGGCTTAGAATTGTGGATTCAATTTCTAGGCCAATAAGATTGTATTGTGACAACTCAGCTGCTATTTTTATGGCTAAGAATAACAATAGTGGTAGTTGTAGTAAACATATCGACATCAAATACTTGGCCATTAGAGAACGTGTTAAGGAAAAGAAAGTGGTCATTGAGCACCTTAGCACTGAGTTGATGATTGCTGATCCTTTGACTAAAGGCATGCCACTAAAGAATTTCAAGGATCATGTAGTAAGAATGGGACTTGGTTCCATGATGTAAATATTCATTGTACGTACATTTGATATTTTGTTGAAACTCTTATTCAGTTGATATTTCTCATTTGTTTTTGTGCACATACATATTTGTTTATTTTATTGAGAAATATCATTAAAGTTTGGACCTCGAATAAACATAGGGTTTATTCATTAAGTCATTTCGGATTGAGAGACACGATACATTGTGATACGTGGAAGATACTCAACATTAGAGAACCTATCGCCATGATTCATGTATTTTGTTTTTCATTAAGGTGGATGATGGAATGTTTGAACCAAGTGGGAGAATGTTGGTTTCGGTTGCCCAAAGTGGTCCAATAACTTTCCATCATCAAGAGGAGTTGGTTATGACTTAACCAACCACTTTGCCCACTAATTCTATTTATTGCTCTTTGATGGAGAGAGTAGAAAAGGAGTATATATATTTCGGGTCCCTATTCCTGCTCTTCAATTTTTTATTTTAAAAGAAAATACACCATCGTTTAGTGAAGAGATAAGGTTTAGAAGATCTTCAAAATCAACATCCATATCCTTGAGTAAGACAACGATGGTTGGAGGTTAGTTTAATCAATTACGCTTCCGTTTAATGTAGATTATATTTTTTAGTTTCTAAACATGTTTAGATCAAGTATTTGAATTTCTATCATGTTTAGATAACTTTTAGTAATATAACTTTAATTTACAAACCAAACACAAGAAAAATAAATATATTGGTTTCCCTTCATTTTTTTTGTGCGAACCAAAGAGAAACAATCTATTTCTTGGAAAAGTTTGAAAAACTCAAAACTTGTGTTTTTATACATGGAAATGCATTCCCTATATCTAGGAAACGAACCAAACAACCCATAAAAATAAACTAAATATTAATAATTTTTGATTTTCTACTAATAACTGGTGATATTGATGAGATTTTAAAAATCTAACAATCTGGTCGGCTTCGTCTCATTGAAATAGCAATTAATACATATATAATATATCAGAATTCGTCATCTGGATTGAAAGATATATGATCGTTTCTTTCTAGAAATCAATAATATGTATGTATACGCATTTAGTTGTAATTGTTCCGATCCTCCATGAAATTAACCGTTAAGCGTCCTACATATATATTAACGGACTGATTAACTGAAAATCATAAGCTAAAATGTGTATACATGCATATTATTAATTTCCAGAATGAAACGGTTATATCTTCCAATCCATAAGGTAGATGAATGAAAATGACTGATTAATTGAAAATCTCAGGATGCTTTTAATTTGAATATAAGATATATACCTCTTACTTTCTCGATATGACCCAATTTTTCTGATTAAGTGTAAGTTATCAAACACTACTATTTGTGGATTGGTATATAGTTTTGACAATAGCAAGGTTTTGGATTAAATCTGAATTGCATTAGTCTAAAGAAAACTTTGATTCACCACTAACTAATTATTTTCTGTACAAATCAAGTTCTATCAATGCAAAGATATCACAAGATTTATGAAGAAATCAAAATTTAAAGGATATCTCAACAGGCCAGACCAATATTATTGAGTTTTGCTTAATTAGTACATTTTTCAAATGCCAATGTGTATATAATCTTTCTTTTGAAGCACACCAGATATAAACTTACACATATGATAACCTTGAATCCTGATCTAGTCTTATTCCATAAATATTCCAATAAGATATTATATCAAATTTCAGCCTTATTCCATAAATATTCATTTAAGATTTTATATCAAATTTTCCTCCACCTATGGAACATGTGCGCAATATTTTTGTCAGCCATGAACGGTCCATCCCCCATCGACAAGAATAACCTGACCAGTAATATAAGAAGCAGCAGGCATGCAAAGGAATGCGACTACAGTTGATACTTCCTCTGGTTCGCTCTGCTAATTTTGCGCTAATTTTGTTACCCTCCATCAGCTACAAGAAAAGAAGATGAACTCTTAAAAGAAAAAACAAATCAGTTTCTGTCGTGCTTAAACTTGGATAATCAATGACAAATCAGTTTCTGACACTTTTACGAGGGTAAATACAAAACTAACATGCAGCAATAAAGTATCTAATAGTCAAGCTGAAGTGCCAAAGATTGCTTGCTTCAATGGATTTTTGTTTTATTTTCTAAGATCTACAGCTTCACCCTCTCCTCCTTGGAAAATTCTATCGACTCATGTGAAAGAGGTCATGCCATGCTCTAGTGTTTACCCTCAGTTCTGTTGAAGAAGATATTACTATTTCGGGTTGAAAACTAAAAAATGTTGTTTTTCATGCTGGTGCGTGGAATCATCATCAACATTGGTTGATCACAGCTCATGCACGGTGAAGGCAAAAGTGCAACAGAGGACTTACAGTCTCCGTCATCACCGTCCTAATGGGTCCAGGGGCAACGCAATTCGTTCGAATATTTTCTTTTGCCCACTCACAAGACAAATTTCTTGCCAGCTGATTCAATGCCCCTAAAGGAAAAATACAAATGTCAATCGAAAAATATTCCTTCTAATTAGATGACAATCAACGGCTAAGTTATCAGATTGGTGTTTTTTCTAGCAAAAGATGCTCTCTGATACGGTACTTTTTTCCCCCTCCTAGCTCCCGCAATATTAAGATATTGATAATTTAGATAATACCACATCAGAAAGTGTCTTCTAAAATTACCAGTCTGATAATTTAGAGTGGCTTTTATTAATTTTTATTTTTTGGGTTTATACCGTGGGTTGCTGAATAAACAGTTAGATCATCTAGAACAATTTGCCCACAAACTGAGGAGATAATTACGATATTGCCTGCACCCGATGCCTTAAGAAGAGGGTAGGCAAGTTGACACAGATGGAATGCTGATTCAACATTAGTAGACATGAGCGACGCATACTCCTCAGCAGTGGAATCAATGGCTTTCTTATAAATTGCTATTCCAGCATTATTAACCTAGAGAGGACAACAAATTAAAATATGTTAGTCTCTTGAGTTAATTTGAGTGAAAATAATTTCAAAATAAAATTTGCTAAGTATACTTAACGAGAATATTGAGCTTCCCGTGGAATGCTAAAGAAACCTTCTCCATTAGTTTCTCTCGTTCAGATCGAGCAGATACATCACAAACAGAACCTAGGACATTAAGGTTTGATTTCTCCCACTCTAGGAGACGTTTGTTGAGATCTGCTTCGTTTCGAGAACACGTGTACACGGTAGCTCCAAGCTCAGCTAATTCTTTAACTATGGCATGTCTGTGATTAATCAACATCATAGTGTGAAGAAATTTAATTATGTCAGGAAATAAAAAAAATTGGGAAGAATTTTCCCTTGATATGTAGCCAATATATATTAGTTTGAGAAGCATCATACCCTATCCCTCTGGTTCCTCCAGTGACTAGAGCCGTGGCTCCTTGAAGAGACCAACGCTTGTTTCTGATGCCGGCGTTGTCCTCCATGGATCCCAGGCCTCTTTTCCTATTGTTCGATAGCACTCAGTTCAATCGCCTCGGCAGTGTCTATCTCGTTCTCCAATCTTGTTCTCCATTTATAGCTAAAAAACGTCGATGCTGACATTTTTCTAAAGAAAAAGGATTTCTGGGAGCATGATCGTAGTATATGGTGACGTCTATCTACATTTTGTCACCAATATTTATTGAGGATTCGGTGGCATAGCGCAGAAGCCTGAAACCTGTACGTACGAGCATTTGAGTTATTACGAAAACGAAAGTTTCATTCGAGAGGGGGAAAAAATACAATACCACTAAAACTTTTCTCTTCTTATCCCTTTTACTGACTTCTATAAAAATATCATAGGTCATGTTGTATGCATAAAAGAGTGTTACTAAATTCCAGAGACTTATTTTCGTATCTCTTGTCATTTTGATACTAAATTCCAGTGACCCTTTTAACTTTGCTAAATTTATCCATATACTGAAGGTACTAAACCTCTGACTGTAGTTTGACACTGTAGCATGAGCCTTTTAAAACTCCAACCACTTTAATTAATTGGTTAGTGGGAATTCCAGCGTATTAATTCTCCAACCACTTTACGTAGTTAGAGAGTGTTGGATTTAAATCTGATTAAATCTATTTGTGGGTACATATGATTAATCTGTGTGTATTGCTATCCTTCAGGATAACCCACTAAAGTGATTAATTAATTTGGGTTAATGTGTATTTAAATAAATTATGGGGTTATATGTGCAGATACCAGGTTATAATTGTAATTTGATGATGGGCCAAATTACAAATGTACAACACCTATAAATAAGGGGTTATTGTCCCTAATCTAGGGTTACAAATATGAGGTTATATGTGCAGATACCAGGTCTAAGGTGAGCTTCGCGCTCAATTTAAATGAACTTCACGTTCGTTCTCAGGTGAGCCTTGCGCTCAATTCAAGTTGAACCTCGCATTCGTTCTCAAGTTGAACCCTGCGTTCACTCTCAAGTCGAACTTCGCGTTCGTGAGCCTCACGCTCAGTTCTAAGGTGAGCCTCGCGCTCAATTCAAACAAACTTCGCATTCGTTCTCAGGTGAGCCTTGTGCTCGATTCAAACGAACCTCGCGTTCGTTCTTAGGTGAGTCTCGTACTCAATACAGACGAACCTCGCATTCGAAGTTAAGAGAACTTCGTGTTCACTATGGTTAAGTCTCGGCTTCTCATACTGTGGTACTTAATTTATTCAATTAAGTTATGAGCCCTAACTAAGCAATGAGGCCCTATTTAAGCTATGGAAATTTAAATTAAATTAATTTAATTTAAATTTAATTTGGCAGTTAATCAATTATTTAATTCAAATGTTATGACGCTAATGTATTAAGGTTGTTTTTCACTCTAATTGATTAATTAAAACAAGAAGTTGCCAAAATAACCTCTCTTGTGTAGATTGTTCATAAGGAATATGAGATGTTTGTGTGTATGCTTTCGTGTAAATATTTAATCGGCCCAAAGGAAGGTTAATATTTATTTAGACTGTATACACATCTGCGATGATAAGCGTGTGACAATTATAAGGTTTACATGTGAATAATGAATCGATCCAAAGATAGTTTCATTATTTGACATGAGTTATTGTCAATGTTTGATCATTGCAACAAGGGTATCACTTGCAATTAATATTACTGTCCAAAGACTTGATATTAATGTTGTGCCAGATATCTTGGATGGGATTTATCATTATTTGAATTTTATTGATTACTAATTATGGTTATTGATGTGAGCATTTTTTGTTTTATTTCAGCTAATGCATCTGATACAATAATTTCTGCTAACATCAACTCAATTCCCATGCTAAATAGGACAAACTTTAAGGTTTGGAAAGAGAACATATTAATTGTTCTTGGATGCATGGTTCTAGACCTTGCATTAAGAATTGAACAACCCCAACCTCTCAATGCGGATAACACTCCTGATGCAAAGAAGGAGTATGAGAAGTGGGAGCGTTCAAATCGCATGAATCTTATGATTATTAAGCGCGGTGTTCCGGAAGCCTTCAGGGGCATGAAATCCGAAGGAATTACTAAGGCTAAAGATTTTCTTGCCGAAATTAAGAAGCGTTTTGCGAAAAATGATAAGGTAGAAACAAGCACGCTTTTAGCTCGCTTGATTTCAATGAAGTATAAGGGCAAAGGAAATATCAGGGAGTACATTATGAAAATGTCTCATATTGCTTCAAAGTTTAAGGCACTTAAACTCGATCTTTGTGATGAGTTATTAGTGCATCTGGTTCTATTGTCTCTTCCTGCACAATTCAATCAGTTTAAGGTCAGTTATAACTACCAAAAAGAGAAATGGACTCTAAATGAGCTCATTTCATACTGTGTGCAAGAAGAAGACAGGTTGAAGCAAGATAAGAATGAAAGTGCTCATTTGGCCTATGCCTCTAAGGATAATGGCAAGAAAAGAAAGAATAATAATGAAGCTGCTAAGGGTCCAGTTCAAAAGAAACAACATATATAAGGATAATTAGGGTTGTTTCTTCTGTAACAAGCCTGAACACGTAAAGAAGGATTGTACCAAATATCACGCCTGGCGTGCTAATAAGGGTACGTTCCTTACTTTGGTCTGTTCTGAGGTTAATTTAGCTTCAGTACCTAGAAACACTTGGGGGTTAGACTCTGGTGCTACTACTCACATAAGTGTTTCTATGCAGGGTTGCCTGAGCTACCGAAAGCCAAGTGATGTTGAAAGACACATCTTTATGGGTGACGGTCAATCGATAGATGTAGAAGCAATTGGACATTTTAGGTTGCTATTAGGAACTGGTTCTTATTTGGACTTAAAAGATACTTTTGTAGTACCGTCTTTTAGACGGAATTTGATTTTAGTTTTTGTATTGGACAAATCAGGTTATTTTTGTTCATTTGGAAACAATTAATTCAGTTTATCTTTTAATTCAAATATTGTAGGAACTGGTTATTTGAGTACTTATGACAACTTATATTTGCTCGATACAATTGCTTCTTATAATGAATCCTTGCATGTGGAATCACATACAATTGCTTCTTATAATGAATCCTTGCATGTGGAATCACGTGGTACTAAGCGTAAATTAAATAAGAAAAATTCTTAAATAAGAAAAATTCGGCGACATTATGGCATAAGCGCTTGGGTCATATCTCAAAAGGTAGAGTTGAGTGTCTTGTGTCTAATGGCATTTTGGATTCCCTTGATTTTTCGGACTTCGACGTATGTGTTGAATGTATCAAGGGAAAACAGACCAAAGTTAAGAGATTAGGTACCAACAGATCTTCGGATGTCTTAGAATTGATACATACGGATATTTGTGAGCCATTCCCTACGACATCTTAGAATGATCAACAATATTTTATATCATTTATAGACGATTACTCACGTTATGTGTACCTATATCTCATTCATGAAAAATCTGAGTCTCTGGACATGTTCAAAATCTATAAAGCTGAAGTTGAGAATCAACTCAACAGAAGAATTAAAACTGTTAGATCTGATCGTGGTGGTAAGTACTACGGTAGATATGATGGTTCAGGTGAACAACGTCCAGGACTATTTGCTAGATACCTAGAGGAATGGTAGATATGATGGTTCAGGTGAACAACGTCCAGGACTATTTGCTAGATACCTAGAGGAATACGGTATCATCCCACAGTACACCATGCCGGGTTCACCTAGCATGAATGGTGTAGCTGAAAGATGAAACAGGATTCTTAAGGATATGATAAGAAGTATGATTGCTCATTCTTCTTTACCAGAGTCACTCTGGGGAGAAACACTTAAGACAGCAGCTTACATTCTGAATAGAGTATCAAGTAAAGCAGTTGCTAAAACACCTTATGAGCTTTGGACTGATCGAAAACCCAGTTTAAACCACTTACATATTTGGGGATGTCCAGCTGAGGTAAGACCTTATAGGCCAAATAAAAAGAAATTGGACTCCAGAACAGTTAGCAGCTACTTTATTGGGTACTCTGAACGCTCTAGGGGCTATAAGTTTTATGATCCCACACTAAGAAATATTTTTGAGATGAGAACAACAACATTCTTTGAGGATGTTGAGTTTGGGGGGAGAAATAAGGTTAGAGACATTGCTTTTGAGGAGGAATTGACATCAGATCCAATCCATACAGTTACTTTTAACAATATTCAGGTTCCTATACCTGTTGTTGCTCAAGAAGTAAATCCGGAACCTCAAGATGATAATGTTAAACAACTCCCTGTTTCAGAAGAACAAACTCAACAACCTCAAGAACCAGTGCCATTAAGGAGATCCACGAGAGAAAGGAGAAATGCTATTTCAGATGATTATATTGTATTTCTCCAAGAACATGAGGAAAGTAATGGAATATTGGAAGATGATCTAATAAACTTTCTTCAGGCCATGAAAAGTTCTAACTCTCAACAGTGGATTGATGCCTGAATGAAGAGTATAAGTCTATGCAAGACAATAAGGTTTGGAAACTTGTCCCATTGCCAGAAGGTGCAAAACCAATTGGTTATAAATGGATTTTTAAAACCAAGCGGGATGCAAACGGTAATGTGGAGAGGTATGAGGCACGTCTTGTAGCTAAAGGCTTTACTCAAAAGGAAGACATTGATTATACAGAGACTTTCTCTCCGGTTTTATCGAAAGACTCTTTCAGAACAATCATGACACTTGTTGCTCATTATGATCTTGAGTTACATCAGATGGATGCTAAGACTACATTTCTCAATGGCGACATTGATGAGATGATTTATATTGTGTAACCATAAAACTTTGTGTCAGGAGACCCGAAGAATATGGTTTGCAAATTAAGGAACTCCATCTATGGACTCAAGCAAGCTTCTCGTCAATGGTATCACAAGTTTCAACAAATAATTATCTCGTTCGGTCTTAAGATGAACATTGTTGATGACTGTGTATATCACAAGTTCAGTGAGAGTAAATATATTTTTCTGGTTCTGTATGTCAATGACATATTGCTTGCCACTAATGATATAGGCATGTTGCATGAAACCAAGAGATTTCCATCAAAGAATTTTGAGATGAAAGATCTTGGGGACACCTCTTTTATATTAGGAATCCAGATACATTGAGATCGCTCTCGAGGTATACTTGGAT